ATAACATATTCTTCTTACAGCAAAAAAAATATTGATATGCCTGCTGACAAATATTTTAAGTCTGGGTTAATGTTTAATATAGAATAACTATTATCCTACTTGCTTCCGTAATAGCCTCTGAAATCTGCATTCCATCCATAAAACCTGTTCAAACAAGCATTGACAGATGCATTATGAACAGAAGTCTCACTAGATTTCAATTCCTATGCTGGAACTAGGCAATCATCATCTTTATGGGCATATGCATTACTGTTTTCAGAAGTAAACAGTCTGGTTCAGGGGTCTGTATAGGTTTGGGAAGAGCACTCAATGCTCCATTTACATTGACCCTTCCCAGACAAGTGGGCCCTAAATACAGTCCTTCATAATTATTGTGGGAATTGACACTTGTACATACAGGTCTCCCCCATCAATGTGTGGCTCAACAGGATCAGCAGATTTTGCTTCTTGGCAGGGTCCTTCTTTGTTTTTTTCTATGAGTCTTAACTTCTTTGCCTTCAAGTGAGAGTGCACCACTTGTAGTACCCTAGGTTGTCCACCATGAATCGCTATGACACCTAACCAATTTCATACAGATCACTTTTTCCCCATGCTGTGGGGAATACTTAGGAGACAATAATCTGTAGGAAAACTTGGAGAAGGAATGCAGAGAAAACTCTGTCATCCTTCCAAGTAAGAAAAAAAAAATAGTTGTGTGCACAGATTCAAACGCAGCTCTTAGGGTCAAACATGCAAAGTTTGCCATAAAAAGCTTCAACCCAGTCTGATTGTTGTGATATTATGCAGGGCAACTGTTGGTATTAGTAGTTTTCCAAGTCACAGTCGTGTTAGTCTGTGTAAGCATTTCAACAAGAAACACTCAAGAAAAGAAAAGAAAAAAGAAAAGAAAAAAGAAAAGAAAAGAAAAGAAAAGAAAAGAAAAGAAGTTGTGGCACCTTTAAAACTAACTACTATATTTTAATGTAAGATTTCATGAAACATGACCACTTCACCAGACATATGTCTCCTGAAAGAAAAAGAGGAGGAGGATGGGTGGTGGTGGAGGAGGAGCGGATAACCTCCACAGGTTTGATAAGGAACAATCAAACCTGTGGCTTAAACTAGCCCTGTCATCAGGCTGACACTGAAATATTAATATTGTATGTGCAATCCAAGACCAAGTTATTTACACTAGATACTATTGAAAATAATGCTGAAGCAATTTGTATCTGATATATGTAAGACCTGTCACAAATCCATTGAACTAATTTATCATATCATATCTGGATGCCCTAAGCGAGCATTCATTGGATTGTATGTGCAGGGATAACCAAGTTACAAAGATCACTTGTCAACAGTTGGCTAAATCTTATGAATTACTCCCATCTTTTCCTTCACATTTTAAATTCCAGCCACCTCCAGTTATAGAAAATGAAACTGCAATACTGTAGTAGGACATGCAAGTTATCACAAATAAAACAGAACATTTTAATAAGCCAGGTATTGTTCCTCTGGATAAGCAACAAAGAAAAATGTACCTTATATAAGTTCCATCAACAAGGAATCATTTGCCCACCTCTTTGCAGTAGCAATGCTGAAAAATAAGAAGTGCAACAACAACAACATACTGTCAAGTCAATTCCAATTTATGCCAATCCTTTCTGGGGTCTTCCAGATTCAGTGTATTCAGACATGGTTTACCCTTTATTTCCTCTGGGGGCACTCTAAGACCATGTAGCTTGCCCAAGGTTACATAGGCTGACTCTTCTCAGTGCATTGTATACCTGGCTTAAAAATTAGAGGTCAGGATATCACCTCACAGGATGTAATTGTCAGAATATTATTTTTTTAAGTAAATAAATCTCTCTGGAATGTTTTGAAAAGGAAAGACATCATCACTTGGGAAAAGTGACACACCTTCCTCTTCCTGCCAGCTAAGGGACTGGGTAAGTTTATTTAAACACTTTGAATGTCTCTGAAGAAAAAACAAGTTTACAAAGAGGAGAGATGTGAAATGAAGGCTGGAAGCATCCTTAATTGCAGAGTATTTCCCTCTGGAGATCTAAGATTGTAGATTTGCTGCCTGGCAGGAGTGCGTATATGGTTTTCTTTTACATAAATTATACTTGTTTAATATTTGTAAACAAACTGAGCATTACAAAATCTCAGTGGGTCTCAAGATCTTTCCTCTAAAGAAGATCCAACCAAATAAGTGACACCTCTAGAACTTCTTACTGCCAGAGAAGCAAAATGTGTAATGGAGGGTTAAATCTCAATTCTTTATGAATTATAATTAGATACACTTTTCTTACTCATGCTTCTGTCAACAGTTCGAATGCTGACACATTGAAACATATTAGTCAGGTTTTTATTCTTCATATTAATTTATAAAACACCCTAGAAATAGTGGAAAGATCTGGAGTCAAAGCATGCTGGAATGGTGGAGGTTATGGTATATAAATCCTATCTGAGAATTGGTTTTACCTCTCCATTGTTCTTACTATCTCATACTTTTCTCCATATAAGTATAGCATTCTAGAAAAAATAAAATAATAAGAATAAAAAATAGGCTGCAAAATGTTTCATAAGCCTCTCTGCTTTGCAAGCATATGATAGTCTTACAAATCTCAAGGGTTTCAGATTTTTTACCACTGGAGCATTTGATTTGTTAGGCAGTACAGTATCTCAAAACAAAATGTAACTCATAGAATGTTGCAAGCAGAACAGTCCATATGCTCAATATCTAAGTACTCCCTTTCTCTTGGGAGTCATATTCCCACAAATAGATGGCTATTTGATGATGTTTATAAGGCGATTTAAGTCTGGATCTCTGGGGAGAGCTGTTCACCTTTGACAGTCTCAACAGAGAGAATACAGATTAAATTTTCTCGTATCTATTATATGATCTCAGTAAAATGGTATGGAGGAGGAAGACAAAGGTTACCCATGAAATGTTTAAATGAAGGTCCAGTTTTTACTTTGAAATAAATCTTTTATCTAGAACATTCATGTGATATTATCAACTATACAAAGTCTTAAAAAAGCCACTGGCAGCAAAAAAAATTGAGCCAACTTAATTCAACAGTTCTTTCACATTTCTTTTTAAAAAGGAGTGACTATTTTTTACATTGGAACAAGCAGCTTAGAATCCATAGGAAATCAGCACAGAGTTCACTGGAAAACTGGGTCCAAAAACCATTTGAGATGCAAAAAAAAGCAGTATTGTTTATATTGATATAACTTGTGTTTATGTTTGTTTGTTGTACTGACAGCAACTGAGAAATATAAACTATATTTTGGCAAAGATGATTATGGAAAACACTTATCTCTCTGAAGACAGAAACACTAATGTAAAGAAGATGGTTTAAGATCTACAACAAAAATTCTGTGATCTATAAACAAGTTAAATCTAGTTCCTTGGATTTAATCTGGTTCACTCCCACAAGCAGATACATGCTGTTGCTTGCAGTTAGTGATCTTCTCTGAAAACAGTTTGTACTGTTTGACCGTCACTCCAGGAAAGAGGCATCTATACAAATTAAATATAATGGTGTTTATTAGATTTATGAACATCTAGCCCCTAAATACTTTATACAGTAGTTTCTCATGCAATCTGTGTTTGGGCATTTCTGTGTACTCAAATTAACCCATTGGGAATGTGAATGCCACCATCCTGCTCCAATCTGCTATGCATTTGGGTGGGGAGGGGGCATGGCACGGAAGTTGTCCTTACATTCTCAGGCCTTGTACCCTGGGAAAAGGGATTGTACCTGATCATGCTCATCAGAGTGTGATTCATAGCAGCCACATACTTCTGACTAGAGGGCTGCCTTTAGCACTGACAGAAACAAGGAATCATTTTGAGGCACCTGGAAGATTTCCTATGACAAACTCTCTGGGACCAGAGATTGCTGCTTCGTCATGACTTGAGTCTGCAGTTCCTTGTGGCACAACAAATCAATCTTCACAACAGCTTGGATAGTATCTAAGGTGCCACTGGTCTGCTTGTTGTTCTGTCTCACAGCTCCAACCAAGCTACCCCTAGCAAATGGCGCATTCTTCCTCAGGTTAGCTTTTCAGCAAAACTGCAGACGTCTATTCTTGTTTGTCATTCACCATTTTAAAATCGCAGCAGTCCCTTCAGAGGAAAAGGCAACAAGAGCATTATTAGCCCTGTAGCTCTAACTCCGCACATAAAAACCAATGCTAGCCATGCCTGGGCTATAAGGAAACTGGATAGCCACAGTTGGGGAATGTCACTGCTTTTGCTTTGGTGGCATTTTGGTTGGCCCGAGTAAAGGTAGTAATAAAGCAGTAAAGGTGGGTTTCAGTATTTGTGCCACATGTAGGGCTCCAACTCAGTCAAATGTCCACTAGGGACTACCACACAGTTTTCTTGCGGGAGGAAGTGTTTAGGTTTTTTGTTTGTTTGTTGTTGTTTTTGCCTCAATTAATTTTGTGACAACGCGTTTAGTTTTATCGCTGAATAATAATACACGTGTCTGCAGTTCACCGCCAGCCGCTCCTCTCAGGAAAGCGGCAGGCGAGTTTAACAATAGCTGAGAAGAGCTCTTCCTCGTGCGCTTGTGTCACCACGCTTTTCCCCTGCCGGCTGGCAGGCGCTCGGGGCCCCGAGCTTCCTCCGGAGCCCCTTCCTTCCGAGGCTGAAGGAAACCACCTGAGGGGCCTGTGGCGCGCGTGGGAAGGGAGGAGAGGAGGCGAAGAAGTGGGGCAAAATTGGCGGGAACTGTCCCTTCGGCGCTTGGCGGAGCTGCTCTGCCGCTTGTTTTCGAGACTAGGCGGGGAAGCGTTTGAGGAGGAAAGGTTTCTAGACCGCAAGTGGCGAGCTGAGGGGGGGGGAACTGTGGTGTTGGGGTGCTCGTGTGGGGAAGAGGTGCCTTGCTGCGCCTCTAGGGCTTCCCCTCTACCGCGCCCCACTCCTGGTCTGGTGAGTCACCGGCAGGTCAGGAGGACCGCGCGGGAGAGGAGGGGCGAGGTGCCGCCGGGAGCCGCCACGCGAGCGGCGGAGGGAAAGGCTCCGCCAAGCCGAGACCCAGCCAGTCAATACGCAAGCAACAAGCGAGCGAGAAAAGCCAGGAAGCCCGCGGAGCTGGAGGGCGCCTCGCTGGGCAGGCAAGCGCCGGCGGCGTCTCCCCCTCCTCTCCTCCAGGTGGCTCACGCCAAGAGAGGGAGTAGAGGAGGAAGCCGGTGGCACCACCACGGTGGGATCCGAAAGGCACGACTCCCGAGGCGGAGAACCGGCCGGCTGAACAGCTGCATCCTCCTCGCCTTCAGCAAGCAAGGTACAGCCCTGTGGACCCGCGCGGGTTGCAAATGCTACAGGGAAGGGAAGGGAAAAGCACCCTCGCGCATACATTGAGCTACTACTGTACAGTGGCTGGTTCCAGAGCGTGTAGCCTTTATTATGTCTGGTACAGCCCAATCGCATGTATGGGTCTTCCCGAAGCCTAGTAGACACAGCATTGTTCTGCCTGAAATGCACCTTCGTGAATTGATAGTTCATTTTAGTTGGGATCGGATCTTGAATCTAGGGGCTGGGGGCCCTTCAGCCAAGGAAGGCACTTCTTTCCGATGCCAGGAACGAGTCAGTGGTAATGAAAGAAAGGTAAAGGTAAAGCGCCTCTGAGCGTGTGCTGATTTCATTCCCTCGGCCTCTCCCACCCTTTATCTGAGGCAGAGGATTGTAGCTAGATCAGGTGTGACTTCTGGGGAGGAATTGCTTTTGCAGAGCTGTTCTAAACACGTCTAATAACTCAGAGATGGAATTAATGAGGCTGACTTCCAGGTGAGGGAGCGCAGCTTTGTAGCCGCAGCAATTAAGCGCGGAGGCATTCCAAATATTTGAAGGCTTGACTTTTAGGGTGGCTATACTTCCTTTGGGGTGGGGTGGGGGGAAACCACTGCTGTTGATCTGTAATAAGTGGCTGCTGCTCGTAGAGGAAATGAGTGACTGGAATTTTGGCTGCCACGGTGTTGGAGATCTGCCTGGACTCAGCAGGATTCAGCTCCAAACCTGTTTTCCGTGCCAGGGATCGTTCCTAAGCCTGTGAAGTGGTGATAAGACGAGAGAAGCTCTGAGCACGTGCAAAGCGCTTTCCTCGCCCCTGGGCAACCACAGGAGATGCAAGAGGCGGGACTTCCACGGCAGGTGATGCACAGGTGGCTTAATCAGTGCCACTTTTCTTTCCTTAAATAGATGCTTATTGGTAAAAATCAGTGGAAACGCACACACCCAGAAGTTTCGAAACTGCCTGCGATCCCAATGCGGAGGAATTTTAGCAGGTGTGGCCAAGCGGAAGTTGAACTTAAAGAATCTGCCTTAGAACCTGTGACGTAAAAGGGAGTGCCTCTGAGAGAGTATAAAGTGCATTTTCTCCATCTTACTTTAACCACTAGTTATATTTGCCATTAGGAAACAAAAGCTCCCACGCGGTTTGGGGCCCCGTCACTTGTGCCTTTGCTTTTAAATACACACCCTCCAGCGTCGAATCTTGGGCTCTGGGGCGAGGTTTCTCTGTCTGCGATTATAACGCAGGATCCGATATGGTATTTTCTGACTCTTTGTTGAAATGGAGTGGATGGGAATCTTCCGGATCGATGCACACATGTAGTTTGCCATTCACTTTATAAAGAGGGGCGAGCGGGAGGAGAGAGAAAGAGGACGTGCTGAGCTCACTGGAAAGAGCGAAGAATAAGCCAAGTCCTTTCTCTGAGAGATGATTGAAATGAGATCTTGGATGATTCAGGAGTGACTCTTTCTCCCCCCTCCCCCTCCCAAGGCGGAGTGGCAGAGAGGAGGGGGCCAGGGCGAAAGAACTGAAGTGGCTGGCGGCTCTGCAACGCGGCTTGCTTACAAAGAAGTTTGGAGACCCGCGATCTGAGTCAGCTTGACGGCACCGGCGGCGGTGGCATCGCCACCAAGACGCTGGCAAAGAAAGCCCCGGGAGTGTTTTTAAGAGGCAAAGGAGGCGATCGCTCTGACATCAACGCATTCTTTCAGACAACCGTGCCCAGAAGGAGTGGTTTCTGCAGAGTGTTTGCAGGTGGACGCAACTCTTCTTCACAGTTTGCTTTGGCTAGCAGGGGTCCTGATAAGATAACATGACGCCCTTCTTCTTAGAAATGTAACTAGTGTATGTGTTTTGCCCGGTAGGTTTCAAGCCAGGAGTGGGTGGGTGTGAAAGCAGAATTTAACCACCCCCTAGGAGAAGGCTTAATTCTCTCCCTCCTCCATTCACTGTTTTGCAAGACTTCTAGTACCATCTGGGTTTCATCGCAGTTTAAATCCTGTAATCTAGGAGTACAACTACAGTATAGGGGACTTAAAACTGTTTTAGATGGAAATACATCACAAATTTGTTCTTGCTAGGAAAGTTTATGCATCCTACCTTGGAATAACATAGTACGGTATGTGAGACTTAGCTTGCCACTGAATAGTTACATTTCTAAATTGCATTAGTCAAACTTGCGTTACGTGACAACTGTGAATGATTTTGCAAAGAAGTTTGTAATTTTGGCAGTGCCCTAGCAGAAATATTACAAGAATGTCAATGCATTAAGACATAGTCCAAGTTGAAATTAGATATGCATATATTGTTAAACGTTGCAGTCTTCCTGGATGCCTTTTCCCCCTGGTCTTGTTTTGCTTTTTTTTTTTTTTGCTAGTAAGAACTGTCAGACCTGAAATAAATATAACTCAAAACAAGCAGTTGTTAGATTTAAGCCTTCAGCACGTACCTATTTGTAAATAAAGAACTTCAACAGGAAATACTATTTCCTAAGTTTGGGTCACAAAGAGTTGGACACAACTTAACGATTAAACAACAAGTTTGTGTTTGTCTCTTTGTAATATTAGAACTCTTTTTATTAGGAGATATGTCCTCATTTTGAACTTTTAAAAGTTCATTCAGCTATAGGGTGTTCACACTTCATATTGAAAATCTCCGTTGGGATTAGCTGAAGCAATGAGTGGTTCTGAAACTTGGGTTGTCAGGTTGGGTTGCAACAAACTGCATCTCCCAAGAATCCTAACGATTGGGCATGTTAAGCCGAGACTTCTGAGACCTAAAGTATTGGCACCTTTGGTTCCAAGTTTGGGAAGCCGAGTTAAGTGGACATAAACATTGTGATGCATCTAAACATTTATGGTGCAGTCCTGTGTATGTTTACACAGTCACATTGAGATCATTCATTATAAGTGCAGATGGGAGTATATTCTATAGTTTGCAGCACCCATTAAATTTAAGATCGTTGAACCTATTTAAATGCAAGTATGTTGAATCTCTTTAAATGCAGGTATGTTGGCTAGAATAGTCTGTACTACAGTTATTATAATCTTTCATTTAAAAAGTTTCTTAAAATCATTTTACTTACTTCAAGTGAATAGTTGAATTTGAATTAATTTAATGTCTTAATGTATAATCTGTATCTAGCCAAGAATTTATACTGTATAATCTGTACCTAGACCAACAGTAGTTCTACATGTAGAACTTTAACTCAGTAGTTCTTTAACTCTGAATGACTGAGTTAAAGACTTCACACCTGAAACTATTTGGAAAGCTGAGGTCCAGTTACACCACTGCTTCAAAGAAACCATTTTGGAATTGTATATGTGCAAATGGTAGAGGATAAGCAAGAGAACAAATGATAGGTGCATGTTACATGATTTTAGCTATTGCTTGGTGATATCAGCATTAAGGCAGCATGCATATTTTATGTGTAGCATGTTTCAAAAGGTATGTGTGTATGATTAGTCATCATTTTCTGTCTCTTCCTTTATTAAATTTATTCCATGTAATATATGAGTGTTGACTGTTAGTAGAGCCAGCCTGTGCAGTCATGGGCAAGCTGCACAGTCCCAGGCTGCTCCCAGAAGAAGGGAATGATAAAACCACATCTTGAGTACTCTCTACCTAGAAAAGCCTGGAAAAGGTTGCCATAAGTCAGAATTGACTTGTTAGAACACAGTTATTATAATATATGAGTAATATTGCAAGATAGATAATAAGGATATACGCTTCAGGTGCAGGGAGTGTTCTTGTGTGTATTTACTGGTAATGATGATATCATTGGCTTCAGAGAAATGTTCAGTGTTGACTTAGTGTAAGAAAGAATGAAGTTGATATAAGAAATTGTCCTCGATCTAATTGTAGAACTGAATTATTACAGGAAACAAAATATAGTAGCTGGGAATCCCTTAGGCAGTTATATTGCTCAGTGAGATTAGTGTCGAAAGTAGACAGGGCTATATAGGTTCTAACTGTGTGTGATAAGGGCAAGATTTGCATGGTCACACCAATCTATGAAATGGTTGGGACTGATTTTTAAACCCCAGAAGCAGCAGATGGGAGTTCCATACCCGTTTCAACCATACCTCCTGCTCAAGTCACCTGCAGTTTTTCCTCTCTTGATGGGGTTTTTGTTTTGAAGTCATTGTGCCTTGGGAATACAATTTAAGAGTGAAGGGGTTTGGCATCCCTTTCAAAATGTGCTTTATACTCTTGCCTTTCATGACTGGAATTCAGCTGCTTCCACATCCTAATGCAGAGTTCTGCTGCCCTCATGAATACTTAGTTATCAATTTCACCTTCTTCCAATGGCAAGCCCTGCTCATTTTATGCTTTGCCATTATCAAGCCATACAACATGGGCATTCACTGTATGTAAGTGATGCAGTCGTTCTAATTTCTGGGAGAAGCACTTTTAGTGCAGCCATATGAGTCTTACTCCAACAGGTAGCTGGTCACACCTTCTAACATATCTCCATCACATTGCATGGTACATCCAAGACACACTTAAGCTTTGATGGGCATACAACAAAACAGACATCATGCAACATACATCAGCCCCTATTTAGCCAAAGTCTTGTTAATCACTTTATCCCACTGAGCAAAGCAATGTATGTGCCTTCTATGTCTGTATTTCTTTATCACTGTTTTAAATACAAATTCAAAATATTTTAAAATATATATTTATGTGGTTTACTTTATGGGGCAAATGGTCTTATGCTGATTTTTGTTTCAGCTGGCTCTGAACAGTGATTTTCAGGACATATTCCATGCATGCAGTTTAGTCTGTTTTGTTGTTGCTACATGGTGAGATCCATGGGGAACTTGGTCATATGAAAATGTCCTACTCGTGCTTGGCTTATGGTCATCAAGGCTAAAGAGCAAATTAGCAAGACACTGTATAAATATTTTGCAGTTCCCATTCACTGGACTGCTGTAACTAGGTCATGTAGCAGAATCCAACACATGGCACCTGTTTATTCATTTTAACTCTAAG